TCTGATACTAATCTTCACCATTTATATTATAAGTCTCATTCTCATAGCATGCCATAGGGAGTCAGCCTATTCCTATATACCGACACATTTCCAGACTACAAGCTACTAAGAGAATTTTACTTAACACTTCACACGGCTGCCTCGTTGGCCGAGTGGTCGTAAGAGCGACTGCCGGGCAAGGAGTCTCAAGTTCGATTCCCGGGTCGGGCAAAGTATTATAAAGTCTTTTAAAAACTTCGCAGCAGTAGCACGGATTCGGAAATTGTGCCCAGTATATGGCAATGGCCCCCTATTATATGGGACTCATAACATAAATAGTAAAAAGTGGGTCCATTAAGTGCAGTAATGGACCCCTCTACCTACCCCTTCGGGGATAACAAGGCGTGATTTTATGTTATGTTACTTCCCACGACTAACTTATTCATTATTAATGCAATTATTTATGTCATTTTCATGAAAATCTAGACATTATGATGACTTATATATAAAGGTATTTATGTATATAGGTATATATATAAGGTCGATAAGTAGCGCTAGATAAGACAGCGTCAGTATAGTAAGATATTAATAGTAGAAGATAACATTATCACACATCTGATAACGATGCTTCCTTGAGATAATTTTAAGAATTATTTCTTAGACATTTTTATTTATTTTGTTGATCTGTTGATAGCGTCACGGTTATTAACCATTGACTGTGTTTGTACATTGCCAAAGGCCTATTTCATATTGTCTGTTAAAGTTTCTGATAGTTTGTTATACGGACAATTTGTGATAATTATATTAAAGTCTAACTTTTGTTAGCAAAGACGAGGAATATATGGAAAGGATAAAAAAACAATCATATGGGTTTTTTGTTCAAGTGAGGGAGAGCCATGCTTCGGCACGAATGGATCGTCTCAACCGGAGTAATACCACGGCCTCACAGAAACCCGACGTGAAACAACGTTTGTGTTGTGTTTCGTCGTGTGAGTGTGGTTACCGGAGGCCTAATTACCCCCAGTCTCCCAAAACCCTGAATCCACCACAATCCTCAAACCCCCAATTCCCAAAGGCTAGTAACGCACTTATAACGCCTCTGGTGTTTCAAGTGTCCATGGCGACGCCGATTGCTTACCATAAGGTGATCAGTCCGATGGTTTACCGGCTTAACCTACAAAAAAATTGGCTGATATGGAAGCGAAAACCATTCAAGGATGAAGAAATGTCTTGTAAGAAAATTATTAAAAGTATATTACATTGATTGTTTAAAGGCAAAGCAATCGGGAAATGTTAGTTTCACTTCTTAAATATTTTTTTATTGCAGTTTAATGTTCTAATATTTTTATCTGTCTTTGAACACTACGAAATGGCACCGCCATGTTAATGACGTCATTACAGTAGTAAATAACAGTATCAGCTGTCATTGTACTAAGTATGTATTACTGTCAGCTGGAGTTTACTGAATGAATACTGACGGAATCACGTCATGACTTGTTTTCGCGAAATTTGAAATAATGATGAAATAATTAATTTATATTCGTACATAACGCGAAAAAAAATGGTTTTTTATTTTTTAGGGCTACAGAATTTATATTAGATACATTTCAAATAGCCTATTGTCCTACAGTCATTTACTATGATTGGCTTCATCGAGCCTAATGATTGCAACTACGAATACTGTGCATATTGCAGATGCTATTAAATTAACCGTACAGTTTGATTGATAATCTTCATCAATAGGTTTGCTTTCCTTTCTACATTTTAAATACAATTATCAAATCCAGCCTTTAATGAGAAACAAGTGCAAGTGCTTATTTCTGCAAATAAGCTACAAAGCAACGTTTTTTCAAGCGAACGATGAGACCGACATTTCCTAACTGACTACTCTGAGAAGAAATGCTGAAACAAACTCAGAGGTCGGAGACTTACCAAGACCACAATAACACCAGATCCTGATCTGTGGTTGGCATTTAAAATTAAAACCAGTAGACCAACGTACCATTTACCTAATTAAAAAAAAATAAAACGCAATTACATTAGACCAGTACTAAAAACAAGCAAACCGTAACGTTATGGTTGGGTGGCAGAGCACGTTATCGTAAGTAATTATTATTGAACGTAAACGCATCCTATCGCGTTATGGGTTCCAAACAATGATACCATGACATGGGATCAATTGGACGGCCGTCACCCTCCTATCTGTTGAAGAGATTTTTTACACGACCATCCGTGTCGATAACATGAAGGGATTTTGACGTTAAGTGTTGAACCGCTGGTATAAGCGGCAGCACATCAAGGAACCACCAGTATACACTGACCGTTGAATGTACCCAAAGATAGGTCAAAGCAAGGCCATGTTAACCTGGTTTTGTATAGTTAGATGTATAGCCGTGTACCTACATATTTGTCAAGTTATACGGGTCATATTTTAATTGGATATTATGGGTACTTTTCTATACTTCTCACATAACATAGGTAATATCACGCCTTTTATCCCCAAAGGAGAAGGCAGAGGTGTACATTAGAGCATTTAATCCCGCTGTACAATGTAACACTCACATTTCACTATTTATGTTATGAAATATGAGTCCCATGTAATAGGGTGTGAGCCTATTACCATATACCGGGCGCAATTCCAGACTCCGTGCTACTACTAAGATTTTTTTTACAACCCAGTAATACTTTGTCCGACCTGGGAATCGAACCCGAGACACCTTGCCACCAGGCAAGTCTTGTCTTGTCGCAGTTACGACCATTCGGTCAACGAGACAGTCTTCTTACTTATACTTTTAGAACATAGCATGTACCAATAAGCCTATTTTTATTCCAAGAAAACACCCAATATATAGACGTCACTCACGTACGATACGACGAAATCTTCTTTGATTTTGACTTATAATATCAAATTATAACTTTGGAATAGCCGATCTGCATTGAACAAGCGCGGTGGTTAATGCTCATTCCTGCTCCATGTACCTAAGAAGAGTCCTTTTCTTATCATTGGGGCAGTTCAGGCAGGACAGGCTAATGATGTAATATAAACCAAAGAACGATAAAAAAGCAATAATTTATACAACAGATAAACGTTCAGTTCAAAACGTCAATGGGATTGTGACGTATCATTAATTTTTAATGCCACGTCCCAGGTCAGCTCTTATAGTGTGGGTCACCCCAAGTCGTGTCAAGTCGGAACGACACGAACGCTACTGCAAGAGTGTACTTATGCGTATATGCAGCTGGAACTTTAGTAAATCAGATTTTTAATGTTCTTTCTATGAATAGATTACACTGTATTACATAAGTATTCTATTTATTGGTCTATTTACACACGTTGGACTTGTGTTTTTTGATACTTTATTTTTAAAATTTAGGCCAAGTTGTTGCTGCTCTTGTTCTTTTATTAAAAAGTCCGAAAATAAACTGCTAGACCCGTTGGTCTATGAATATGATTGCGGATTGGCGTTCCAATCCGCCATCATATTCAATTTAAAAAAATACTGCTCGTTTTCCATTTACCATACAATATAATTCATCGTAATAATTACAATAGTGAACAAGATACAAATAGAATGGATACTCAAACAACGTCTACCTCTGAAAAAACCAAAAACCAATGTAACCTTTTAACAAATACGAGAAAAACATTAAGCTGCCTACACGTTCACCTAAATTATAAAATTAATTTAATATTGCTTCTCAAATTTTCCGACAAACTTCGATTCATTTCGCCCATAAAATAAGTAAAACCCTTTTGTAACTTAATAACTGTATCACACCTGTTACTTACGTGAACAATTACGATTAAATTGTATAGATATTTTCTTCGCTGTAGCAAACTCAACCTTAAACAGAGTGAGATAAAGAGAATAATCCAAAAACTTTTTTCCTAACACAACACCTTTTTCGCCAACAATACAAAACCTTTTTCGTATAATCTAGGTAGATTGATAAAACTACTATTTTCATTAGTGTCTGTTACATTTAAAATACTCAGTTAATGAGTGCCTGGAAATAGAGTAAGTAGTTATAATCCTAGTGCATTTTCTGCTATTCGTTTGTAACCTTGGAAGTATAATGAGTTTAAAATCTATAACAATTACACATTCGTTACATGCCGTCAATTTAAATTAAGTAATATTTGTTAAGATTCATTGCAAAAAATATTAACTACACGTTTACGATTATGAAGCATCCTGTATTTTATTGTGAAGCATTGCTTTGTTAAATTTTATGACCGAGACAAAAAATAAGTTCAAAATAGACTCAAAAAAATAATCCGTTTAGAAATCAGAACAATATTTGTAAACAAGTCTATTGAATATCTAATTTGTAATCCACACAATCTGAGACAAACAGAAACAATTATGAACAAGATATTTTGTACCCATAAAATTAGTCGGTACAAGTAATAAATGTTAATTATAATTATTATAATCTCATGGCTGCGTCGTTGGCGAGTGGTCGTAAGTGCGACTGCCGGGCAAGGGGTCTCGGGTTCGATTCCCGGGTCTGGTAAAGTATTATTGGGTTTTTAAAAACTTCCCAGTAGTAGCACGGATTCTGGAACTGTGCCCGGTACATGGGACTCATAACATAAATAGTGAAAAGTGGGTGTTAGATTGTACAGTGGCATAATGTGCACCTCTGCCTACCCCTTCGGGGAGAAAAGGCGTGATGTTATGTTATGTTATTATAATCTAACATTAAATGCATGCATTAAAAAACATTCCGAGCTATATCCACTAATTGTTAATCAACTTAATTATTACGAAAACAATGCTATTATTTTATGACTACAATCAACTGCAAAATGTGCAGCATTGGTCAACAAACAATATTCAAAGACTTTTGTATTTTTCCAACCGCTATTGCGTGTTAGAAATTGGTATAAATTGCAAAATCATGCAACGACAAATATATTATTCTAATAAACTGCAGTCTATTGTATTCAAATTTACTGCAGAATGTCGTATAAAGGAAAATGAAGACCACATTATATTTAGTTGTTCTACAATCTCTTAGTACACAAGCCTAAAAATACTATCGAAGTAATAAGCTGTTAAAAAATAATAAGGTCAAAGCAAAAGTGAACGATGTGTTCCAAGAATATCGCTTATTTATTTTTAATTTCATTCTGTGTATCGGAAATAGTAGCGGACAGCATTGCACCCGGTAGTGAAGTTTTCATTAGACCATTAGCAACTATTGTGGGAATACCCAGTTCTTCAAACGTTATAATTATAGTATGAATTACAACTCACTTTACGTATAAAAGAATATGAATTATCACTTCTATTATAAAAATAGAATAGTTTTGGTTTGGTTATTGACACATTCCATCAAAAAATCTCGCATTTTGGAAGCTATTATTTATACGTAAACTGACCATGACGCTATGACGTGCAAACTATTAATGTTACACCAAAAAATTCAGCTATACCTAAAATCAGACCATTGAAAGTTTCTTCGGTAATCTAATATTTGTTTTTTCTATTACAGGAATCTTGCCAGACAGAACGAATCGAGTAGAGGATATTTACCTTAGATATTATAATGGGTAAGAAACGTTCTGTATTCCTATATGTATAGTGTAAAAAACAAGATATTCTATAGTGTAATCTATATTTCAATGACAAAATTTTAACATTGACTGCATCGTTGGCCGTCTGGTCACAAATGCGACTGCCGGGCAAGGGATCTCGGGTTCGATTCCCGGGTAGGGCAAAGTATTATTGGGGTTTTTAAAAAAATCTCAGTAGTAGCACGGAGTCTGGAAATGTGCCCGGTATATGGCAATAGGCTCACCCCCTATTACATGGTACTCATAACATAAATAGTGAAAAGTGGGTCTTACTTCTGTGTTCACCTCTGGCTACCCCTTCGAGGATAAAAGGCGTGATATTATGTATGTATGTAAAATTTTAATATTAAAGGTCTGAATTCAAATAACTGCATCAAATTACCACAAAGTTAAATTTCGACGATTCATTTAAGTCAGCCGTCACCACTCAACACTAGCAGTATAGTCTACGACATTATACTGGAGACTCAGTTATTGTCCAAAGAAAAAAAAAACTGAATAATATTAAAGGTCACCGACCGTCCGGTACTTCAACCCAACATAGCTTAACCTACAATGATTGACCATATAACTACGACCTTACATTGGCACGAAAAACACTAAAGGATCATAAACTAGTGTTCATTATGAAGGTAAATTAGATGCCTATTGGAGTACCTACGTAAGGCATACAGGTGTTGATCACGAACTCAAAAGTCAGTTTTATCAATGACATGGAAAATTAGAATGGTGAGAAAAATAAGTGATTTTATATTCAGTAATGAACCCAGCTATATACGTAGAATAGGCATACGTATGATGCAGATAAAATGAACTAGTTTTAATCCCGACAGCCAATTTCAAAGATAAGGCAAAATTATGAGTTGTCCTGAATCAAATTATTACTTACTAGTGACCCGCCCCGGCTTCGCACGGGTGCAATATGCATGTATTATACATACAAACCCTCCTTAAGAATCACTCTATCTATTAAAAAAAACCGCATCAAAATCCGTTGCGTAGTTTTAAAGATCTAAACATACATACGGACATACAGCGAAAGCAACTTTGTTTTATACTATGTATTGATGGACTTCGATTTGACATTATCATTTTTTTATTCACAGACAAACAGCTGAAGACTACGTGGACATTCCTCTCAGTCAGGCCAACAAATTATTCGAAATCAAGGGTTTTGACCAGAACAATCCCACTGTCTTCTATATCCATGGATTCATTGAAGTTGCTCAGCAGGAGAGTATCCAGGTAAGGAGCGATGTACTCCAACAGCACAAAGCTATCATTGCCATGTTCTTACTAATATTCATGATTTTCCTATGTCCAACAAAGTAGTCTGGCTATCTCAAAACATGACAAAAAATGAGATATCATATTTGATGAAGCAACTTAACATTTCAATTTTTAGCTTTTTAATGACTGGAACAGTTTTATTATGTTTATTATTTTAAATTATTGTCTTAAGTATTTTATTTTCATCCTATTAAATATTTTTTTCAAGCATAAAAATATAATGCAGTACTATCTATGCCACATTGGTCGAGTGGTCGTATGATTTATGGTAACCCGTCAAAAAAGCTTTTTAGCAGTTGCAGTTTCATTAGAAATTTAGCAAATGTGAAAAGGCTCCACTCAGATATTAGATACCTATGCATCATAATAATTATATGTATTAAGTCTCCCATACCCATCTCTGCAACCACACCATTAACCCTTCAAGGGAAAGGCATCTATCTTCCATAACGCTGTCTCTTACTCCGTAGCACACAAATATGGGAAAAGGATTGATGACCATGATTTGACATTTGTAAATATTATTACATACTTATAATGGTAAATCATAAATCACGTCGTGTAAATACACGTAATATGTAGTTTAGAAGTATAGCTGTAAATAGATAATATTGGTATTTAGTAGGTAACCTTTTTTGAGGAAGGAGGGGAATCGTCAATAGGGTAGATGCCTAATTTTTATTTTAAAGTCCGTCTGGTAGATTATTTTAAATCATTAAACACGTATTTTTTATTGTCTTACAAAAACGAATACATTCGACGATATATTGATTTGAAATGTCGCGTGAACTCACTTCTTTGTACATTTTATACGTAGAAATGACGTTTTAGCCCCCACTTCTAAACATTGATTCGTTTTATCTAAGCATTGTTTTATTAAAAAATACGTATTTAATATTTGTCCTGTCTTACGGACTAATTAGATTTTTAATTCTCATACCCTGTCATCATCCCAATTGACTTCTGCTGCATTGGGTGAGACGAAAAGATTACTTCTAGGTGAGGAGATTCTTACCAACTAAAAACTACGTCGTTCCTACTCTTGCTTAGAACCCGGGCCTCGGTAGCCCGCAAGGTCATCCGTAACCTCGGATTATCTAAAACTCGATCATATGTATCCTACATATATTAAACAGCCCAATTTGTGCCCATACAATATTTTCTTTCTGCCAGCATGTTTATAAATAAATTAACATTAGTTTACTCAAGGTCAACTAATAACGGTTCCGCTTCACATTAATTGTAACCAATGGAAACTTTAACTTAACATTATTGGCAGCCAAACAGGTTTTAATTAATCGTCGAGTCTCATTCATTCTTCCGTTTGTTGAGGTCAACGCAGAGACCTCAACAAACGGAAGAATGTTACAGCTGCACTTTAACTATAATTGTAAATATCTATCAGGTTTCGTTGCATAATGTGTTCAAAATTGTGACTATTGTAATTAAATCTACAGGCCGCTGTACAAAAGATCAGTAATTGTTTTGAGAACAAATTAATTCCTAAAAAGTTATATTCGATAAATAAATAAAAGAAAGAATGAGCTTCTCATTCAATAAATGTAAAGCTCACCCGTTGCTTAGCTCTTATTGATCTTGGCATGGTGCTTGTGAGCCTAACCTTCTTCAATAAATTGACTATCCAAACAAAATTAATTTTCAGATTCAAGCCAGTAGTTCCAGAGATCAGCGCGTTCAAACCAACAATCCCTTTTTAACAAGATTGATATAATTATGTAGATTTTTAAACATTTTACATTTTTCATCTTCAGGTCATGGTGAACGCGTATTTGGAGGCAAGGCCGGGTACAAATGTTATATTACTAGACTGGTCCAATATGGCACATGGGTCATACTTTTTCAATGCCGCTAGAAACACCAAAAAGGTAAGGTTTTATCTTAAAAGCTAATAAAAAGGCCCACGCATACTTATTAAGCGCATAATTTTCAAGGTCGAAATTAACATGCGAGTGTTATGTTTCTATATTTACCAAGGGCAGTATATTATATTAAACTAATCATACATATTATAGTCTTTTGCATTTCTCATATTGTATAAAATTTGAAAATAACGGATGCACATGTTTTTTTAATGAATGCCTGAATATATGACTTTTTTGAGTTATTATTCTAACTTAACACCTAATAATATAATAATACCGATACCAAAAAATAAAATAAAAAGTTCAATACTTCCCGGCCGATATTAATAGATATTTTTTTCATTGAGTAGAAAAAACAATTCAGGAAGGTACAATTTTACCTCCTTTAGATTTTTAACGGCATATTCGTTTCTAATTCCAGGTTGGTACAGCTGCAGCGGAACAGTTGAATAAATTAGTCGACTCAGGACTTCTCTTGGACAAATTCCACGTGATTGGACACTCATTGGGTAGCCACGTGGCAGGATACACTGCAAGAGAACTGAAGACCAAATACAACAAAACTATCAAAAGGTACTTAATTATCATTTAATAGTCACGTTCTTGAACTTATCAAAATAAAATGAACATTGACCAATGTCCAACAAAGAACCTCTATGAGTGCGTGGGTTCGGTTCGGTATTCTTAAAAACTATTTTAAGTAATATAAATCTGATAATACTAAACGTAGTCGCATTCACGTAGTATACATAAGTGAAAAAAAGTTATTCGAAATAACCAAGGACCGAAATGAAAACCCTGAGGAACACTAGTGTCTAATTATGTTTTAGACTCAAAGACTTATTATTACATACCTACAGTTTTCTGCTTTATAAATCTAGATTTCAAGCATCTACTAGAGAGCGTACCCGTCATAAGATTCCAATTTTACTAGTAATATTCTACGGCAAATACTGTTAAACGCTTTACATAAAATGATACAAACATTCATCATAGTCATAATTAATTAATTAACATAGTCAACAAACATTTCAGATTAACAGCCCTCGATCCCGCTTTTCCAGCGTTTTATCCTGATGGCGTGGTGATGGAACACGTGAACGCGAAGGACGCAGACTTTGTGGATGTAATACATACGGACGCCGGTGGATATGGCGCGCCGGTACGAACTGGAACGGCTGACTTCTGGCCGAACGGTGGCAAAAGCATACAGCCTGGTTGCCCCCGATTTGCCCCCATACCTCTCTCCGATGATAGTAAGTTTTTGATGGAAAATTATATGCTTCTCTTTACATTTCCAAAAAACATTCGGAACGTCATTGATAATTTATGCTTATTATTTATTTTTTCAATAAGAACAATATCGGTGATTATATTAATTTGGAATAATAATATTGGACAGTACTGGCGCTTGCGATTTACTACATATGTGTTGTACATCTGTAAATGCGAAACATTCTTGCTTTTATAAGTTTTTAACATTTCATCTGTGTTACATAATATTACTGTAAAATAACCCAAATTTTGTTTAAAGAATCGCTTTCCTATGTATTACATTAGAAATTTGTCTTAAAATTAAATTATAAATAATATTCAGCTTCATCTGGTAACACTGGGAGACGAGCCTTTCGTTGTCGGAAAAAAGCTAAGCTGAAAGCTGATAGTATGTAGAATTTTGTAATTTATTGTCATATTGGTATTGGTATTGGTATTGGGTAGGATCTCTGTGCCCGTCTAATGCTGTTTGCTTACGAATTTAATGTAGGGTTTCAGCGGGAAAAAAATCTCAAATATAACACTTAAATACTATATGGTAATTTTTGAATAGAGTAAGACCATAATTGCACATTTATTGGGTTAGCACATATCAACTTACACCCCTTAAACCTATAATTTTCGTCTGTCACTGTTTTGATCCTCATCGTACATTTCCTACTTCCATGTACCTATTTCATTTTTCACGCAATTCCACTATATTTTATTAACTACGCGATCGCTCTGTCCACCGTTATTTCTCTTTTTAATATTATATTTATTCTTATAGCACATATTGGCTCTATGTTCTGCAAGTTGTCATTCGACCTCAATTTATGAATTTGTTCTGAATGTTGTTCCATTCTTGACCACCAGCAAACATACCAACCAATGTATATATATATAGGGGTTGAAACTTTACGGCCGTGGGACTCAAGTGCACATCTTCTTTACAAAGATATTGTAAGGAGGATGGTTGACACTTCAAGTAATCAAAGGGCTGGCTACTACCTTGGACAAAGGTTAAGCATTGCCATTCAACGTGGCAATGCTGCCAGTCTTTTGGGCACCCTACCTCACGATAGCGATGAGGAATTTTTTTTTGTTTGATGCCTTATGATAGCGTTTTCATTTTTTTTAAGGTGTAAATATTTTAGCTCCTAGTTATTTATATTTTATGTTGTTTTCTTTTAGTAATAGTAATTATTAATTAGAAAAAAAAATAATAAAAATTGCCCATGTATATATACATAGTATCTATACCGGATTACCTCAAACCACCCGTTTCACCAATTGCATCACGTCATTGTTTATATTTCTGACAGAGCGCAAATTTTCCCTTGATTTTGTGATCATTCGTAAAGCACACTTAATCCGCATTAATCCTAAAATCATAACACAATTGCGGGACGCAATAATTGTCTGTATACATGTACAAGATTCAAGTACTGAAATATTAGTTCAATAACATTTCTTAAATTTTTCCAGATTTGTGCAGTCATTGGAGATCGTGGCGGTTTTTCGCAGAATCAGTGAGAAATCCTGAAGCATTCCCCGCCTCTCCTGCCGAATCTTACCATAAATTCAGAGAAAACCCGAACCCTGAAGAAGGAATGGTGTACATGGGTTATAGCTGTGATAATAAGTAAGTCGATGGTGAAACTTATTTTTTATTACAGTTCTTATTGCAAAATAACGATTATGTTAGGGAGTAGAATTCTTTGCCAGAGTCTGTGTTTCCTGAAGCTAACCTGTCTTCAAGGCCTGAGTGAATAGGTTGCTTATGGGCAGACGTGCTTCATCGTAGACCGCATCATCGCTTACCTCCAGTCTAGATAGTGGTCAAACGTCGGCCATCAAATTATAAAAATAAAATAAAATAAATATGGCAATTATATCAGACACGTGGTCGTTGTTCTATTTTCTGAATAATTGTTTCATTTCATATTATAAAAGCATACAATTATCAGAGACACCATACATAAATGGCTAACTACGTACCATGTAGGTACTAATACTACCTCTATCTACTTACGTGAATATATGTATAAAAGATTCTAATTCGTTAAGCCTAGTGAAACCAAACCTCAAGTAACCATGTGTTCCCATGTAATATTTTATTAGTACCTTTACCAAACGTAATATACAATTTATTATGCGTCGGAAGTTTAACAAGGCGTAAATCTGCATACTAAAGGCGTTGAATATGGTAATATTTATGACCGTCCACGATCCACCGCATACGTTTGGTGTACGCTATCTCAGTGACCTAAATGTTAAGGAAAAGTAAGACAACAAATAGATTCTATATGTGTGTACCTATATATGAATTTCCTCTTAAGCGAAACGCTTTTTAACCGACTTCAATAAAGAAGGTGGTTCTCATTTTGACCTGTATGTATGTTTGTGCGAGATTATCTCGCGACTGGCTAAACTGACTTTGATGCGGTTTTCAGAAGTGTATTTGTTACACTTAGGAGATGGTTTTAATCCATTAGTTAACCGACTTTAAGAAAGTGGGGTTTGAAGTCGATTTTATTAAAATAAGTTTACAAAAGAGTTAATATTTCTAACGCTTTTAGTTCGTGAAGATTTTTTTGGGATTTTTTTTTTTTTTTTAAGGGGGGAAAATCATCGAATGACTGCTCCCGCCTGGGTGAGGCGGGAGGGAGTGTCAGACTCTTACTGACTAAAAACCACCCCGTTCCTTCTCCTGCACGTCGAGCCGGAGCCCCGGTTACCCGTTAGGTTCTCCGCGACAGATTTTTTTGGGATAGATCAACAAACAAGTTAATGAATCATACGATGGTAAACAATCAGCGCCATTCGTGGATACTCGCAACACGAAAGGTTACTAGTGAGTCGTTGGCCTTATGTGATAAGATTAGATCTCCTTTTCTTGACAAATGCACACATACAGTGAAACACGCAAGCTCTGTTTCACGCTTATTTTCTGTGAGCCGTGATATTACTTTGGTCAAGTCGGCCTGCTCTTGCCGAAGCATGACTTACCCACATAAACATTACATCACCCCTTTTATAGGTAGGGGTAGGCAGAGCTGCACATTACGGCACTTAATGCCACTTTACAATGTGACACCCACTTTTCACTATTTATGTTATGAGTCCCATGTAATAGGGGGTGAGTGTATTGCCATATACCAGACACAATTCGTATTAGTAGTGAGTGAGTGTATTGCCATATACAGTGTATGTGCCTCATACACTTAATTTTTTTTTTTGTTTTATTTCAGAGCCGAAGGATCTTATTACTTAACAACGAACTCTCAGACACCATTTGGAAAAGGAATGGATGGGCTATATCCAAAAAGCAAGAGTAATTCCATAAAGAAATAAATTTTGCCTAGGATGGGTAAATTCCTTTCTATATTGTCGAAAACAGAGTTTATTTATTTATTAATATGTAGCATAATTAGAATTGTAGTGTAAAAATATAAAATGTTTTTATCAATTCGAAATCACACATCACGTGTCTCTTTAGATCTAGTTTCTATGTATAACGCTCGATTACTAAAAGGCTACTCCATTTTAAGTTGTATTTACATAGGTATCATGCTATCTCTGTCATTTTACAAAGAATTTGTTGAGACAGAGTTCTGTCTCAACAAATTCTCTAAAGTCAGAACATAGTTCTATTGCTACATAAATGACAGAGATGGCACGATATTTAAATATTTTCAACCTAAATGTGAGTAGCCCTTTAGTATCTGGCCGTTAATTTGACAAATCTGTTACTGCACTCATGGTGTATATAAAGAGAATGTATTGATTTTTAATTCAGTACAATAAAAACTATTGTACTGAATTAAAAGACGAACGATTTGTTTTATGGCTTCAATAATATCGATCGTAAAATAGGTCGCAGTATAAAAAGTTATTTAACTTTTAAAAGAAAAAATGTGAAAACGACATTGCGTATATTGATACATCACATCTTCTTTGTTTTTTAATTTCATTTTTTTTATTATTTAATAACCGTTATCGTACTTGCTCTGAAGTCGAGAAATTCTTAGGCACTCAACGAGTACCTACTACTCATCGTACCTGGACACGAAATCACAATTTGTATATTACACAAATATATGTGTAGTGTATGTATTTGAATGTGATAAAAAGGCACACTTTATTAATTATTATTTTACCTACTCATAATTCTGTTACTTCTATTGTAAAGAGTACTTAAATGTGAACGTCTAATTGTATTCAATCGTTTTAGTGTAGATAAATGAAAGTATTACTATACAACAAACATTTATTCCTTTTTGATGATAATAATATGAAACTACTATTAATAGTGATACATTTTTTTATTAAATAACAATAATAACTTATAACAATAATAGAATAACAATATTATTTTATTTTTATTCATTTTAATATACATTTAAATGCATCAAAACAAATAAATGCAGGGTATCCCTGAAGTCGATGATCAAATAGCACCAGATGATCGACATGGTTCCAACAGTTATCAGAAAAAAATATAAAATAAAATACAAGCCATATAGTTTTAAATTAAAATGACTTAAATTACACATAAGTCACAAAATACTACACCCTGTGCCAGTCTTTTGACTCTTGTTGCTACAATTATTATTATTTTTTGTCTGTATTTTTGCTTAAGGTATCCTGAATAGTGCTCCAGTATTATGGAATCATAAATTCTTAGCCAACTGCTTTAGTTTGGTTTCGTTTTTAACGAACCAAGTGTGCTTAATAAATTATCCAATTTATTTAAAAAGCTGTACAAAAATAAAATTATACTGCGCTAGTAGTGATAAATTTCACCAAAACTTAATTTATGATTCCATAATGTAGAATTCTAACGGCAAAATAATTTTTCTAATCGGTCTGGTAGTTTTGGAGCCTATTCAATTCAAACAAACAAAATATCAAATCTTTACTTTTTATAATATTATAGTGTAGATCTAGATTATATTTAATCAATAGTTTATAATATTGTATAAAGGTAGCTGAAATTGATATACAAATACAACATATTACAAACATAAAAAGTAACGTAATGACTAATAAATACGAGATACTTAGATATACCTACCTACCCAATCTCACGAGAATCTTCTACATCATTTGAGTTGACAGCCAAGCATTCTTATAGTCATGCAAACTAAAAAACTAGTAGGTATACAAAATATCGGATTAATCGGTAAAAAATATCTGCTTCAAAATTTTGTTTGCAAGCTAAATAAGAACTTGCAAAATAGCGTAAATATAATAATGGTATAAATATTTCAATATATAGGGTGTATTCGGCACGCTACCTAAATACGAAGACATGTGATGGTCGAAAACGAAAACGAAAACGGAAAACTATTAAAATTTAAAAAAAATGTAAGGAATTTACCTCTGTCCTGTCGATAAGTGAGACACAATAGAAAACGCATTGTTTTTTTATGGGATAAGCCGGTAAACGAGCATATGGATCACCTGATGGTAAGTAATCGGCGTCGCCCATGACCACCTGTATACCCAATACCAGAGGCATTACTAGTGCGTTACTGGCCTTTTGGGACTAGGAATTTGAGGATTGTTGATTCATGAATTGGGAAAGGGCGGAGGGATAATTGAGCCTCCAGTAACCTCACTCACGCGAAGATACAGAACGCAAGCGTTATTTGATGTCGGTCTTTTGTGAGGCCGTAGTATGACTCCGGTTGAGCCGGCCCATTCGTGCTGAAGCATGGCTCTCCCACACTTAAATGTATCGCATAGATCTACACTCCGACATACCAGAGGTAAAATGTTCCTTTCTTAATGTAATCAACTGCTCAACGCAAATGTTACTTGAATAACACAAAATTGTAAAAACAATATTTTGTATCTTCGTTTTCGGTATCGATCCGTTTGCACCGTGTTTATTATGTAATTGTTTTGTATTGTGTTATTATTTTTAAAAATAAACCCACGGAGTTTACCTTCAATGTAACTGGTATGATGCCATGGTATGAAAATCAAAAATCTAATTAGTCCGTAAGTTAGGTAATGAAAAAATATTAGACACGTATTTTTTTATTTTGTCGTATAATAAAATAATACTTAGATAAAATAGGATTGGGGACTTAAACGTCTTTCGTCTTTCTATTCTATGTACATAGAACTGACGTCACACGACATTTCAAATGAATATATCGTCGAAAGTGTTCGTTTCTGTAAGAAAATAAAAAATACGTGTCTAATGATTTAAAATAATCTACCAGACGGACATTAAAATAAAAATTAGGCATCTACCCTATTGTACATTTTAATACGTAGTAACGCACAAATGTAGATACAATTATGTAGAAGTTATAAGAATGCATCGAATATATTATATTATATTATAATTGTAATGTATCATCACAGAATTATTGATAGTTATAGTAATTTATTAGTGTTCAATCGGTACTTAAGGGAACAATATTAATTTTATGGCATGACATGTACAATTGTACAATACAATACATTTTGTTGTTGATTTGACGTAACGCCTCATGTTTTAAATAATAAAAATTAACGATATTTAAATAATAATTCTTCTTTTTTCAATTTCCCTTACCTTCACTCAATTTTCTCAATTGCAACACACACACACACCCTAACACTCACACACACATCACTCATACACTTGGCATACTCACACACACTTTGCTTACGCACACACATATACTTTTCCTTAGTTTCTAATAACGTGTACATATTTATTATGCATACACATATTATAATTATGAATTTATAGAACTTGTCATACTGACATGCGGTCCTATTATACTATTCATATTTATGATTTTCTTTTATTTTTTTTATCATATTATTTGCTTTAAGATTTTGTCACATCTATGCCTGCATGTAAAACTATGTCTGTAAAAACTGAAACCACACACATCCTGTTTGTATGTTTGTCGATTTGCACTCACTTAGGTCCGGAACTAATGGATACATTTTATTTAAACCTTTTTTGTTGTATTGCTAATATGCACACCAAATCTGTTTAAAGTCACTATTCTACGCGGATAAAGTTGCGGGCAGAAGATAGTTTATAATATGACAAAATCGATTACGATTACGATTTACGATTTTGGAGTAGTAGAAGACACAGTTGAGTTATTGTCGCCGAAAAAAAGGTCAAGTCTTCGTTTTGCATCAGTGATGACTAAATACATGGTGTACGCTACAATGCTGTACATTATAATCCTGAAAATAAAAATAAAATTAGACAACATTAATGAACAAATTATTATAGAGAAAATATGCTAAGGGTCAATTTAAATGAGCGCAGAGTTCCGAAAATCCAATTACATCTTTATAAACACTAATTCAACCTTATGCCCTCAGCGTAATGCACGAATTACTTTGGAGACTTAAAAATACTCGCGCGAATACACACTACTACGCGCGCGTCTCTGGGACGGATTTAAGATACTGCACCCAATAAATTGAGCCTGTAAAAATAATGCAGTTATTGCTTACGGAAGCATACACCCCATCCCGTTGAACTGCTTTTGAACTCTAGTCTGTGCACAACATACGCGATACAACGATATGTGTCACGATATGTCGTATAATATAAACGTGCGTACACACTTGTCTTCACAAAAATACTAAAGTGCTTCTACAGTAGTTTACGCCTTTTAATCTCCGAAGATATAAGGAAAGATACACACACAATATAACACCGACTTTTCAAGTTTTGCGATGAGTTCTATGGAATAAAACGTGTATCGTGTATTGTCATACATCAGGTCAATTCCTGACTTCCTACTACTAGGTACTTCTACTAAGATTTTTGGTAGAATCGAAAACTCGCAAATAATTCTTTGCCCAATCCAAGAATCGGACTTAAGAACCTATGCCCCTCGTGGTATAAACAATTATAGATAAAGATAACACTGCATAATATAAAACAAAGTCGCTATCCGCCGTCTGTCTGCCCCTATGTATGCTTAGATCTTGAAAACTACGCAATGGATTATGATACGATTTTTTTAATAGATAGTGATTCTTCAGGAAGGTTTATATGTATGCACATTGCACTCGTGCAAAGCCGGGACGGGTCGCTAGTAAATTATAATTTTTAGTGTCTACTCTTAAATGTTATTCTTTGTTACATCCGAATACTGAAACGCTTTGTCATTTTACAAAGAATTTGTAGTGATATAAGTACATTAAGCCTCGCTTAAGAGCGTACGGAAAATCATCGAATGACTGCTTCCGCCCGGGTGAGGCGGGAGGGAGTGTCAGACTCTTACTGACTAAAAACCACCCCGTTCCTACTCCTGCACTTCGAGCCGGAGCCCCAGTAACCCGTCAAAGACTTTCCCATAGAACGACAACTAGCCACTTGCATCCAATGGTAATGAAAAAACGAACTTATGTTAGGTATTGGTTACAGCTTAAGTCTCGGAGTACCGTGTGTACAGGATTTTTTCTGTTTAGATTCAAACTGATTTGATTCAAATTATCTAAATCTGAAAATCACATTAGAAACTTAGCCTTAGATTTCGAAACACACAATGTGTCTCAACAATAATAGCTATTTAATTACATCTCCATTCTCTTTGTGAACAGTTTGTTTGAAATCGTGCTAATGTTTATTTACTACTCCTAATAACAATACGGTTGTTTAGCACTCACCTGGAGATTCAGATGACCCACTTTTAAAGCTTGTCAGAGCTCCACCTCCGTGTCTCGGAAAATACTTTTTTTATTGTATGGGACAGGCCGGTAAATGAGCGTACAGATCACCTGATGGCAAGTAATCAGCGTCGCCCATGGACACTCCGAACACCAGAGGTTACAAGTTACAAGTATTACAAGTCTGTTACTGGCCTTTTGAGGATTAGGAATTTGAGGATTGTTGGGGATTCAGGGATTGGGGACATTGGGAAGGGGAATAATTTGGCCTCCGGTAACCTCACTCACACGACGAAATACATCGCAAGCGTTGTTTCGCGTCGGTTTTTTTTTGCGAGGTCGTGTTCTCACTCACTCAGAGCCATGCTTCGGCTAGACCGGCTAGCCTAAGCATGGCTCTCCCACACTTAATACTTATGGCTGTTTCCACCAACCATCCCTAAATCATCTTTTAACTAAAAGTTACTCAACGTGAGTACGCAGAGCACCTGAACTAACCCATTACCTGTTCTAGTAAGTATCTCTTATAATGGAAGAAAACCAAACTGTCATGAAGTACACCTATCCTGGCTTTATAGTTCCTTAAAAAAGAGAGGTTAGGTTAGGAGGTAAAGTCATTGCCTGTGCATGACCTCACTTCGGTCGTGTTGAACTGTCGTTTCAACTCATAACAAGAGCGAATAAAAGAAAGTGC